TAAGCACAAGAAATAATGTTTAACATTACTAGTCATGAGGGCAAAAACTGAAATCTCAAAGAAATATGTTATACACCTATCAGAACGACTAAACAAAATCTAAACAAAATGGATAATATCAAGTGCTGCTGAAGATACAAACCACCTAGCATACACAGCTGACGGGAATGCAGAATGCTAAAATTAGGTTTAAAAAGAGTTTGGAGTATCTTACGAAGTTATGTATAATTACCAAAAGCTGGCATAATTTTAATGTCTTTTCGGTCTGAAATAAATAACTGTGATGCATTCATTCAATGGAATGCCATACAGCATTGAAAAGAAACAAACTATTGATACATCGGTGACTATCAAATGAATCTTGCTAAGTGAAAGAAAGTAATCCAAAAGCTGCATACTGCATGATCCTGTTTTTATGACATTATGAAAAAGGTAAAACTCGAGAGACAAGAACAAATCAGTGGTTTCCAGGATTGGAGATGAGGTAGGAGAGGCTACAAAAGCCAACAGAAATTCTGGAGCGCAATGGGCATGTTCTGTACCGCAACTCCAGTGTTTACACGACTGCTTGCATTTGTCAAAACTTAGAACTATACACTCAAAGAGGTGGATTTTATTGTGTGCAAATTATACTTTAATAAGCCTGGCTTATTAAACAAAGTAGAAGGCTGTAAAAATGTTCTATCAATCACGTTCCATTTATTCCATTAATTCAGTAATACTCCCCTTCACTTCAATATACCAAAGACACATTTTTATTAACGTTGTTTTTTATGACTATGGATGTATGAAATATCTCATACATTCAAAGGCTTTGTTTTAACCTCTGCTGGTGGAGGTGCTAACTACTAATCTAATTGAGAGTGCTGAGCTCTTCTCTGTGTGACTTTGGCCACCCTTATGATTAAGCTAACAGTGAACAGTGAGATAGACGAAGAAGAGGTTGAAGCAAAACTCAGCTGCTTAAGGGAAAGGCCAGGTAAGTGAGCAGAAGAGAGGACCTGAATAAACACACCCTCCAGAGGAAGACACCCTTGCTCAGCTTTGGCACAAGGCAGCCATGAGAGAAAGTACACCCAAGATTGGCAGAGTATCGATACTTCTGAGAAAATCTGGAAATCCTAATTTGTTTTTCATAATGAATGAGAAAACTTATTTGATCATCTCAGTAGATGCTAAAGAGCATTTGATAAAATTGTATATGCAACTTCTAGCAAACCAGAAATAAAATCCTTTTTATAACTGTCAGATAAAATGTGTATACAGTTACAGAGTACGGCATGATGTTTTGATATATGCACACGTTGTGGATATCCTGATTTTTATATGTGAACTCTGCCATTTCTTTTTTTTTTTTGAGACCAAATCTCACTTTGTCACCCAGGCTGAAGTGCAGTGGTGTGAACTTGGCTCACTGCTACTTCCAACTCCCAGGTTCAAGCGATTCTCATGCCTCGGCTTCCTGAGTAGTTGTGATTACAGGTGCCCACCGCCATGCCTGGCTAATTTTTGTATTTTTAGTAAAGTTTGGGTTTCACCACGTTAGCCAGGATGGTCTCGAACTCCTGATCTCAAATGATCCACCCGTCTCTGCCTTCCAAAGTGCTGGGATTGCAGGTGTGAGCCACCATGCCCAGTCAAATCTCCCAATTTTTAAATATTGAGAGCCTTTGAAAAGAAAAACTGTATGGATAAAACAATACTTGTCTGCAGGTGCTGAAGTCTGCAAGCACTAGTCAAAAAACGTGGGTATAAAGGAAAGAACTATAAGAACACATTGAGATCTGATAGTTTAACAGAATGATTTCCAAGAAGTTGCAATGACTACTAAGAGGCTGGAACACAGTGAGGAATTTTGACTTGAGGGATAAGAAGGGACAAAGATGAAAAGAAAATCTATGTGTCTCTGTGCTAAGCGTACACATGCTGTAAGTGTATGCAGAACACGACATGAGCATCATTCTTTGGTGCCAGCACTAATGTGCATGAGCTGAAAGGGGCTTCTTTACCCTGATGACATCCTCCTATTTCTCATCCCTGCTATAGATCCTTAATTCCTTACCAGAAACCCAAAACCCCCAAAGCACTGAGAATCCCAAGGTTGGTTTGGTTGGTTGTACTTAATTCATTCAGTGGCCAACACGGACCTGAAGCCAAGCTATTTTGGATCTTATTTTCCTTCTTTATGTAAAGGCTCATACATTGCACACAAAGTCGGCACCATGTGCAATTACAGGATGCAACTCCACACGAAAACCAAGATGCCATACCACACATGCCTATGACTTTATGCCTCTAATTTTCTATCTTTCCTTCTATCCTGTCATTCAAGGATCTCAATAATTCTGACTCTTGAAATACATTTGCCCCCACAGATTTCAGAAAAGAGACTGTGGTCCCACATAACCTTCCCAGAAGGTCTCATATGTGACTAACAACCGTCACTAAACTTCTGAGGGCATCTCAGCCTGGCACCGCCCTTCCACTTGCTTTATACAGGGGCAATACATCAACCTCTAACTCAAGGGTGTTTTGCCTCTCCTGCTTCAGCCCAAGACTTAAATCTTAGGAAAAGATTCATTTCTTTCAATGTCCTGTCCTATTTATGGAACCTCCCAAGAACAATTCTGCCTTTTCCAAACCCTGACAAATTACAAAGCCTCTAAATCCGCAGTCAAAAATAAATAGACAATTGGTATTAAAAATTAATCGGTGGTTTCAAGGATTCCAGAAATCAGCACTTAAATCATGTGCAGGAAGAGACAGAATTGGCTTTTGCTTTTTTTTAAAGACAGCAGAAATGTAAACAAGGTCAGAAAACTTTCCTCTCTAGAAGATATCTTATGGGCAAACGCTTTACGTGTGGAGGAATCCAGGGGGGAATGAACTGCTGCTTTTGATCACGAGAAACAGACGGAAAATGCATTTTGCAGATGATAAGTTGCAGGCCCTTATGCACCCCCAAATCATGTGGTGAACTCTGTAAAGCAAAAAAGCAAGTAAAGAAAGCCCCACCAGATCAAAGTTGCACTTAGCCAGAGGGCAGGGGTGGTTTGGGATAGGGAAGGGGCTTCGCTCTGTCCATAGTTTTCAGCACTTCCCTTGCTGTGCAAATACCAGCTTCAAATCCAGTCCCAGTCAGCTTTTCAGCCAAAGCACTGCCCCCCAGTACTGAATACGTGGACATCGGTAAAAGCCACTACTCTTATGCGAAAGTAAAATCTCTCTCTCTCACACACACACGGAATGGGAGCCTTAATGAAGAACAGTCCACACTTGCTCTAAAGGGATCATCCAGCTTCCTCACCTAGTTAAATTCTCTCAAGGGCAACAGGCGAAAACCTGGAGGAGGTTGGTCACGCCCTGCTCAATTGGCCTGGTACCACCCTCCTCTGCCTAGTACTTTCCACCCATTCAGTCATTTTATCATCAAAAAACTGCTGGAAGGTAGGTTGGGAAGGGAATTCTTCAATGGCCACTTTGCATTTAGGGAAACTGAATCCTAGAAACGCTGGAACCTAGGGCTAATTAACAGCAGAATTCAGGCACCAGATTGTGACTAATGACTCTTTCAAATAAAACAAAAAAGTGCCCCCTCTCCTACTCTCCCACCCCCGTCCTTCCCTCCGCCCTCCCCTCTCTCTTCCGGCGCCCCCCCACCCTCCCCCACCCCCCCTTTCTCTCACCCCCTCTACCTGGAGCTCTTAGAAGAAAAGAACACTTATATAAAACATAACAAACTTGTCTGGCTGGTGTATCTGGGAAAGTGCAGCCTCAAGGAAAGTAGATTTTTCTGGATTTTCAGGCGGTGCGGAATGACTTTTGAAAAGCAAACGCTACTTTTAAACATCCATTGACAACTTGTCTCTCTCAATTCATTTCTAGCCCAGCCTCAGAGCGTTAGGCGGGAGAAGGGTGGCTTTGAGGGTTCTCTGCTTAGAGCCTGGGACCGATACCCAACCCGCGGCGCCACGCGAAGGCGCAGGACACCCTTGTGCGCACCTGGGTTTAATCACATGAACCCGAGGCCCTCCTTAGAGCGCAGGAAGCAGGAAAGCGACGCTCTCCCTTTTCTACGCCCGGACGCGCCCCGGTACTCGGGCAGCTGAAGTCCCTGGCAGAGCTGAGGCCTTGCTCCCCGTCTGCCCCGCGGCTCCTGGGGCTGGAGACCGCCTCTCCCCGCCCTTCCCGCCGCTGGGTCCCCGCGGCCATGCGGCCGCACACGCACATAGTAATAATGGTCGGAATAACAACACGGCTACCTTTTTTGAGCCCTGCGGGCGCCATACGTTAGCTCCTTGAAATCTCTCCAACCCAGGAGAGAGAAGGGGGCAGGGCCCCACTCCCTTTGTAGAGAAGAGGTCACGGAGGGGAAGGAGCTCGGGGAAGGACCACCCGGGAGCCAGTTCCCATCGCAAGGAACGCGCCCACCTCCCCATCCGTCTCCCACACCACATGGGACTAATCTGAGGCAACGCGCAGAGAGTCCGTGGTTTCTGCCAAGCTGGGGTCCCTGGTGAGCTGCGCGATGCGAGTGCCTTCCTCTGGGACCGGCACAGAGACCCTGGCGGTCGCGAAGACCCGGGCCTTCCCTTCTGGGGCCCAGCCCCACAGCGCGGCAGCTGAGGATGGGGAGCGCACCGCGGGGACCCCATCTCCAGGACCCCCCAGCTCCGCAGTGTGACTGAGCTGGGCTGCGCCGGTCCCCGCGGAACTCAGGGTTGGGGAACGAACCGTACCCCTCAGCCACGCCCCCTCATCACCCGAGGGGCAGCTCCTGGTCCGGGGGTCCGGGGTGGGAGATTTGGGAACTCGGGGACCAGCTAACTCGCCCGGATCCCGGGGCCCAGCTGGGAGCGCCCTTCTGGGTGAGGGGCGGCGCGGCAGCCGCAGAGGCGCTCTTGGTGGGACCCGAGCCCCCGCCCGCCCCTCGCCCGGAGGTCCCCCGGACTCGGGAAGTTCGCGAGCGACTGCGCGCCCGGCGGCCGCCCCGGCCTTACCTTTGCCCAGCAGCGCGCCCAGCAGCAGGCTCAGCGCCCCGCACAGCGGCGCCGCGGGCCCGGGGGCCGCGCCCTCGGAGCGCATCCTGCGTCCCGGCCGCCGTTCACGCCGTCCGCCGCCAGCCCGGGGCGCAGCGCCCGCCAGCGGCCCCCGCCGGCCGCCCCATGCCCCGGGCCACTCCCGCAGTCCGGTCGGCCGGGCGCGCTGCGTGTCCGCCGTCCGCGGTCTCCGCCCCTGCCGGGTCCACGCCGCGGCCGCTCCGGCTCCGCGGCTGCTGGCGCTCCGGCCGGGACAACTTTTCTCCAGCCGCCCCCGCAGCCTCCGGCCCCGCCCCGGACACGCCCCGCCCCCGTTAGGCCCCGCCCCGCCCCGACAGGCCCCGCCCCTGACACGCCCCGCCCCCGGTCAGGCCCCTCCCCCGCCGCGCCCGGGGACCGCGAGCAGAGGGAAGGTGCGGGAGGAGAGAGCGCTGCCCGCTTGGAGGGGCGGCGGACGGAGAACCCCACGCCCGGGCTAGGGAGGCTGTGCCCCGGAAAGAAGACGGGGCGGGGGGGGGCGGCCCCTAGGCGGAGGGGAGCGCTCCTCCGGGGGTGCGCGCCTTCCCCGCGAAACTCAGCGTTCGCAGCCTCCTGCTTGGGTGCCCAGCGGCCCGCGGTCCGGAGGGTCCTGCTCAGGGACCCGCCGCCGCTCAAGACGGAGCTGGACCCCTTCTCCCCACTCGCCCGTGGTCACTGCGGGGCCTGGCGGTCGCCACGCCCCATTCCTCAACTTCAAGTGGCCCCTGCTTTAGCCCGGAGGGCCGGGGACATCTGGCTGGCAAAGTCCCGCGCAGCTGCTGCGGGGAGATCTCCTGGCTGGATCCCTGAGCCGGGAGAAGCAGCGCGCGGCGGAGCCTGAAGGCGGGGTGCGGGCTCAGGCAGATGCGGGTGTGCACCTGCGTGTGTGCGGGGCGGGGGGGCGAGGCACGAGATCGGAGCAGTGTGTCTGGGAAGGGGACTAGAACGCAGGGAGAAAGAAATGATCATTTTTCACTGCATGTCTGTGGGGCGTCCACTCCCCAATCACCCGCCCTCCCCCCGCCACGCATGTTTTATTATCTATTCAGGGGGTGGGGAAGAGCCCCTCTGCAGACTTGCTCCTGCAATAAGCAATTTCTCTGCAGACTCAGACAAGGAAGATCCGAACTCCCCACCCCACTTCATTCTCCGAATCCTTTCCCTCTGGTGTCCCCAGCGCTGCCCTCCTTCCTGGTGATGATCCCAAGTGATCTCAGCTGCTTCCCTGTGCGGTTCCTGATGCTCGAGCTCGGGCCTTTCTGCTATGCAGTGTCTGAGCAGTGTGAGGGCGGGACTCCGACTCCCTCTTCTGACTGGGAGTGAAGGACCCGGGTTCCGAGGCCTCTGCAGGTCCCCTCCTGTCCTGGGCTCCTCACCCCCTCTCACCGGGGACTGGCTTGGTCCAACCTCGAAAGGAAGCCTGAGGGGTCTTGTCTCACCCTCAGTGCAGGAAAGAATTTCAAAAGAAAAAAGAAATCCTTGAGTGAAAGAAAAGCAGTGCAGGGCGGGGCGCGGTGGCTCACGCTTGTAATCCCAGCCCTTTGGGCTGCCGGGGAGGGCGGATCAGCTGAGGTCAGGAGTTTGAGACCAGCCTGGCCAACATGGTGAAATCCCGTCTCTACTAAAAATAGAAACATTAGCCGGGCATGGTGGTGTGTGCCTATAGTCCCAGCTACTCAGGAGACTGAGGTAGGAGAATCGTTTGAACCCGGGAGGCAGAGGTTGCAATGAGCCGAGATTGCACCACTGCACTCCAGCCTGGGCCACAGAGCAGGAGTTCGTCTCAAATAAAAAAAATAAATAAATGTAAAGAAAGAAAGGAAAGAGAGAGGAAAGAAAGAAAGAGAGAGAAAGAAAGAAAGAAAAATGTAAACAAAGGAGCCCCAGCAACTGCAACCCCAAGCCTTATCTCCCAACTCAGCCCCTAAGGAATGAGCCAGGTATAGGGAGAAATTGGGGCAGGGTGGAGCGAAGGCCGTGCAGGGCACTGGCCAGAGTGGGAGGCTTTCTCCTGGGTTGGGGCCCAGAAGTCTGGGCCCGAGAAGAGATGGCTCCCTGGTTTTCTCAGCCAGCTAGCTCCACTCACATGATGTGGGGAGAAAGTAGATTGAAAACTAGCCAGGCCCCAAAGGGAACGGTAAAAACTTGTTTGTCATAGGCCTGGATAGCAGAGACTTAATTTTTAAAGTGGATGATGCTGATAATTGCCCAATTCTTCAGTTCATTCAGCTAGTGTAGACCTGATCTTGGGGGCGGGTGGGAGGGCCGGGGGAGTTATAAATTGGAATTGGGGGTCCTAAAGCAGAAGGCCCGTTTTAGTCTCAGTGTTTTGAGCCTGCACATCACTGGGGAATAAATATATATATTTTTTTCATTTAAATGTTCCCAACATGAGGGAGAAATACACAACATGTCTCATCATTTGGGACTAAGGACAGGAATCTACTTTATCCTCTCTCCTCCCTATCTGATAACAGGGACTAAAAAAAAAAGAAAGAAAGAAAAAAAAGAAGCACCCTCCACTCCCCTGTTCTTCTGTGTAGCCTCATAAGGTACTTTCTTTCCACATCACTTCTTTCCTTTCCGCACAGAACATTGCTTTCCCTACTGTAAAGACAAGCACAGGTCCAGAACTACATTTCTATGATGCAAATAATCCAGACCAGGGGCTGTCAAATAAGCCACCACAAAATAAATGCGAATTCAACACAGGGTGGAATGGGGAAGAGGATTCTCAGTCAGGTGAGTTCACTGCACAGCACATCAAAGGCATCCACTGTCTTCAGGGGTTTCTGAACCACAGCTGTCCCCTGAGACTATGACGCCTCCGAGCATCCCCTTCGAGAGCCTTCAGGAGACTCAGCAAATGAGAGCTTCTCTGCAAACCTTCCTGTAGGACTCCATTTAATCTATTGTGTGCCCCTGTAAAAAGCAGCCAAACCAACATGCACCCAAAACTGAACAAACAAAAGAGATGATATAGTCGATTTCTCTTCTATAGGTAAATCCACAAAAATGGAGGATCATGGGCTAATAAAGATTTCCGTATTTATTTTTTTTAAAGTCATGTATTATTTAATCTCCAAATCATTAATTCCTTAACTTAAATTACTTCCAGATGCTTTTCTGAATTTCCTAAGGAACATCAGAGGCTGCTAATCTCCTCAAAGGCTATTGCAGAATCTCCTAAGGACTGTGGCACATGGAAACACTTCACATAATTTACGGGCGAGGAGAATGATTCGAAAGAGAAAATGGCTGCTTCCACAGGGGTTCAGGGTCCTGAGTCAACGAGGCAGCTTCAGACTGTTTTGTTCGTGCTTAAATTTCAAATTGTTAATATCGCATAAAATGAGGGATAGAGCTTGTGATTTCAGTTCAAAGACTTCTTGCATTGTCTACCTTTAGGCAGGGACTTATAGGTATATATTGCTGAGGACGTGGAAAAGAAGGGCTATATGTTGGCCTCATGAAACAGGTATGGCCATCCCAGAAATTCGATATCAAACCCTGACTATCTGCTTACTATTAGAGATTAAAAAAAAAAAAACAAGAAAGAAAAAAGGGAGGAAAATGAATGAAAGATCTGTGCTTAGTGCTATGTCCTGGCATTGTTCTTAAGATATATAGGCATCGTCTCATTTAATCTTCTCCACACTCATGGAGTGTACTATTATTATCCTTTGACATTTTATTCATTCATTAAACAAGCATGTGTTACTTGCTTACTATTTTTCAGGCCCAGATTTTGGGGTTCTAGCAGTGAACAAAATAGATCAGTTTCCTAAATTCATGGACCTTACATTCTAGTGGATGATACAGATCCCAAAGTAATACACAAGCAAACGTATCTGATAAAGCGGTGATACATGCTGTGAACAAAAATAAAGCAAAATAACAGAAAAGTCTGATTCGGGGGTGCAACTTTAGGAAGGGTGGATAAAGTGAGAGGGTGAGCACATCCATTTCTGGGAAAAGAGCTTCTCATGCTGCTAAAAATGAAAGTGCAAAGATCCTAAGCTGGAGGCCTGCAGGGTCTTGTTTTTCTTTCAGAAGGATCACTCCGGCCACTTGTAGGCCACAGTCTACGGGGTCAGCCAAGGAAGACTGGAACCCAATTAAGAGCTGGCCCAAGGCACCCAGGAGTCTTGGATGCTCGCACTGGAGTAGGAGGAGCAGAGTTGTGAAGTCGAGACATGGACCAGTTAATAATGCCAAGTGGAGGTGAAGCAGACAGGACTTGCTGATGGATGAGTGTGGATTGCGGGAGGGAAAGAAGAGGCCAGTGTTTTGGTCCAAACAACTGGGTACCCCAAGGTTCTGTTTAGAGAGGTGAGGAAGATGGGGTATGAGTGACCTTGGTGTGTACATTGGTACAGATGAGGAAACTGAAGCTCATAGAGGAGGTTAAGCCACTTGCTGGTATGTGACAGCCCACACATTGGAAATCAGCTCTCTGCCCACCCCAGAAGCGGCCGTGCCAGTTTATGACCACCAACCCTAAGGTACATTGAGTATTGCATATCATCCCCTCTTTCATTAACTCCAGTTCTACGTCTGGCTAAGGTAGAGAGGAGTCAGAAGTATGCGATGTAGAAACAGTATGTTCTTCCTCTCTCCATGTGGATAAATTCCAGCCTTTGTTCTATCTAATGAAAATATATTTAGGGAACATTTATCAGGGACCATTCACTATCTACCCTTGTTCCTTTATTTGTTGGCTTGCTCATTCCCCGTTCCATGTCAGTTCCACAGGGGACAATGTCTGACGTGCTCACTCCTGTATTCCCAGCCCTCCCCTACAACAAGTGTGTACATGAAGATAAGTCCTTGTCCAATGAATGAATACTGTGAATCCGTAGATAATTAGTCCTCCTTTACTAATGAGGAACCTCAGATTCACACATTTTACCTTTGGTTCATTAGCTGTTAATAGTGATGATGAAGATAATAACAATTAACATTTATTCGGTACTCACTAATTGCCAAATAATCTCACTCACAACCCTACGAACATGTACTCTTATCATCCCCAGTTC